AACGAACTCATTTATATTTATGACAACCTCAACTCTCAATTCCTGATTAATCTACTTAATATTATGACTCGGATCCGTAAATCTCATTCTCCCTCTGTAGTAAGTGGTAAGAGAGCCAGGGATGTGACCAAAATGTCAACTCACAAAATGCTCAAACAAAAAATGCCCCTTCTCTTGTCCTCTGTTCCAGTGAAAACTCACAAATGCAAAACAGATGGCAATGGCACATTAACATTTGCACATAGAACATTTGCACATAGAACATTTGCACATAGAACGTTTAAGAAGATTGGTAGTCTATAAGCAGACTATTGAATTGCTGATCCTCTTTTATTTAGAAAGACAGGGAAGAAGAAAGAGGGACAGACACACTGAGTCACAGATTAGCTCTTCAGCAGAGAATAAATGATGTAAAAATATAATATTATAATCTATATTATATAAGTGTTTCATAAACAGGTGTCAGTATGCTGTGTGCAGTTTTTATTTTATATATGTGACAGATTGGGCATAATCGTTCACCAGCTTTCACTATATATGTACCTATAAGTCCCCTTTATTAATGATGAAAAACCAAGCTATGTCCTTGAATGTCCCTGTGAATCTCCCTTCTTGCCTTTACTTCCCCTTTCTTGCTTCAACTCAATTTAAGCAGATGTGAATAGAATGGAAATATGATATAAATTAACCTTGTGACATCTGCTTTGGTTCAATCTGCTCAAACACACATCTATACACACACACACACACACCATGAAACACACTGTTGTGACACAGACTATTAGTTACTTTCACTGTAGTGCATCAATATGTGCTGAGGGTAGAAGATCTTTTACAGCACAAAACCTAGAATGATGTTCGGTGTTCAGTTTCCACCTTTGTTGAACATTGTGCCATGACATGAAACATTCAGAAAGGTACAAATTGCAAATTAGATTAGGCATTTTACTTTAAATTTGGACCATTTATTTCAATTTAGAAAACAAAAACATCTCCTTGCAACACAAATTAGCACACCAAAAATAGACAGTATTAATTAAGACGAGATACAGAGATCTAAATTTAAAATTATAGGAAACTAGAATTGGGTGTAAACAATACAGTTTATAATTAAGTAACAGCAATATTTTAAAGTAGAGACAAATATTTCGAAGTTAACATTCAGATAGTGAATAAATACAGGGGGTTTGTAATTGTTTAGGCACGATTTTGTGAAAACAAAGACCCTCTACGAGAGGCCTGGGAGTTTGAGGATTTGTGTTCTTAAGCCACTTTGCCACTGATAAGTGCAGCTTCACTCACCTCTCGCCTTTTTGGTTCTTCCCATGTGTAGGATAACAAGTCAACAAGTCATAATTGCAGCACCCCACCTCTCGCACAGTAACTGCTGAATATGGGAACCAGTGAACCCCGCAACCTGAAAAGGAAGAAGTGGGTAAAAATAATGTATGTATGTATGTATGTATGTATGTATGTATGTATGTATGTATGTATGTATGTATGTATGTATGTATGTGTGGGTGGATGGATGGATGGATGGATGGATGGATGGATGGATGGATGGATGGATGGATGGATGGATGGATGGATGGATGGATGGATGGATGGATGGATGGATGTTTACAAACTAGTTACATGTGTCATAGCAGTCGTGGTTTAGCATCAAACAAAAAAAGTAAAATTTTATAAAATATTCCACAGTCTTGGTTAGTAGTTGTAACACATCTTGGGGTGTAACTGCTTTGTGGGCTTTGTCTGCACATACTTTTCTATAGTTTTTTTTTTTTCATGTTATCATCAGTTTGTCATATAAAAAGTAAGCATATAGTATTTTGTCATGCTGCTGATGCTCTGGTCTGATTTGGTTTTGTTTTCTTGCTGGAATGTATGGGGAAATGTGCAATGTGTATTTTTATTGAGCAACACGTGCTTTTTTTTATTTTATTTTGGTGTTCACATGATTTTATTGTTTGTAGTGCATTTTAATTGTTGAGGAAGCTTTGTTTAGTGCACAATGTCCAAGATAAATTTCCCCTTGGGGACAATAAAGTATACATCTATCTATCTATGTATCTGCTTGTCTTCCAGTCCCGTCTTGACAGGTGTACCAATGATAATTGCTGATTGTTTCCTTTCTCTTTCTGTTGAACATTTTTATTTTGGTCCAGCATTTGGTTCAGGTCACACATCATCTGGATTAAAGCTCAAGACTATGTGTAAACCCAGACTATGTGTTTCTTCAGCGTAGCTTGAGGAAAGAGTGGCTTGTTGAAAGCAGGTGAGCAACTGGAGGACTGGTCAGATGAGCATTTTCATTGTTCTTTTATTATAAACTACATATATTTTATTTTAAAATCAACCATTTATCAGCTTTTGCTATCTAAAACCTCTGTGCTTTCTCTGCTTATGTTCAGGTGAAATGAGGAACAGCCGCTTTGGATAGGCCTGCTCCCATTCACAGCACTCTCCATCCATTTCCAGGATCAGATCATTGCAGCTCTGATGCTCGACAGACGGTGATGAATTGACACTGATAAAAGTGTTGGCAAAAATCAGAGGTACTGACTTACACAAACTGCTTTATCTCATTTTCCCTTCGACGTAGTAGCTATTGAAAGTGTGCCAAATATTTCTGAAACTCCAGCCATCCACCAATCGCCCCACCCACTCCTCCAGTTCACAAGAGATTAGTGATACCTCAGGGATCATCTTGAGCTTGTTGCACCATGCCTAAACAGATGTTTGTTCTGATAAAAACAGTCACTTCACTAAAGATGCTGAGTAATATACCCCATATGGCTACATATTAATGTCTAACAGACAGCATGACAAAATTAGACACACCAACAAGAAAAGGCCTGCTTCGAAACGTTCCACTGAGTATCACAGAGAGGTATAATCTTTAGGAGTATTTAATTTTCCAGTTAATAAGAAACACTGAAGCTCTGTGGAACTCTTTCATTTTTTTTCCCATCAACCAATGCTGTCATCTAGTGGCGTAAATTTGTTCAGACTGGAATATTCTGTCACTCCATTCGGAGAAAAAAAGCATCTATTTATCTTGTCAAACAAAAGATGTCAGGTTGACTTTGTTTTTTTTTTTTGTTTTTTCAGGCCCAGCACACACACACAAACACACACAGTGGACATGTGTGTTAGCAATGGAAAAACTCTTAAATGGCATATTAATAACTATGATGTGGTAATACACATTTTTAAACCTTTCTCATCTAAAATCTCAACAACAAAAATGTTCATGTTTAAATGTAACTTCTTGTAGTCTTTTTCATTCACTATAATCTTATTTTTTTTATTAATTTCAGGACTGTAGCTTACAATTATTATTTTTTTTAATTAATAGAAAACAACAAACTGACAACACCACATGATGTAACAAATGTTAAGGATAGCAAAATGACGTAAAAAGAGACAATATGAGGTTGGTACTGCTGTTATTTCCCTTAAGAGAATTATATAATTATTTGTTATTTTCTTCATATTTTATTTAGGTGCTTGAATAATGTGAAGTTGATGGGGTTTTCCTTTATGTAAGTCCCAACAACTGAGTGAAAGGTGACAGTGGTGGTGCAAAGGTTAAAGAAGGTGAGGTGATTGGAAGGTCACTGGTTCAACCACATGGACTGACAACATCAAATGTGACTGGGAAAGATGAAGCCACCTGCCTCCACCCTCATTTGCCCCATTCTGGGCCCTTAACCTCCCAGCTGCTTATCAGGCACCTTAGATGGCAGCCCTCTGCTACACATGTAAAATGTAGAGAATTAATTTCCCCATTAGGGATTAATCAAGCAGAATAATATATTTTAAAATAAACTCTATTGTGTATGTTTGCCTTGGATGGATGCATCAAGTGAAAGTAATGGTCAGTCATTGGTGTCACAAGAAAGATTTGCATTAATTAAAGCCTGTTTGTTAAATATCATCAAAGTTCATGCTCAATAATCCAGTTAAAAATCCAACAATGTTCACTCATGTCATCTGGATGGTTTCTTTTTTTTGCTGAGATGTTTCGTCCTTCATCCAAAGGACTTCATCAGTCCGAGGAACCACAAAAAAAAACTAAGTCACACAAACAGCACACTCCAATAGTGTGTGTGTGTGTGTGTGTGTGGGGGGGGGGGGGGGGGGAGAGAGAGCAAGAAAACTGTTTATTTTTTTCCACTATGGGAGTGTGATGCGATTCAGTTTGTTTGTGGCTCCTCGGACTCATGAAGTCCTTGGGATGAAAGACGAAACATCTCAGAAAAAGTAAAGGAACTGTCCAAATGACCTGACTGAACATTGTTGTTTGTCAAATATCTTTATAGAATTGTTGCTCATTTAAAAACAAAGCAAATAAAAGAAAATTCAAAAGGACAAGTCACATATTATATTAGACTTTGTCCCAAAATCGTGCTATTATTTCTCAAAGAAACACAAATGATAACAACCTCCAAATAAAGAAAATTAGGTTTTGAATCCTGAAAACAAATAGCCTACTTTATTTTACTCTGACATACTGAGGAGGAAATAAAAAAAACAATTAAAAAAAAAAACCTCACATGAAAACTCATAATGATGGATTCAAAAAGTTATAATGAGTCATAATCATAATGATGCCAATATTAAAAGCTTTGGTCATCTTCCAGCTCTAGATTAAATTACTGGCTTTTTTTAATCTGTATGACTCAAGTCATGTTCTACTGATGATGCAGCTAAGGCGTGTATACTTGTATAAACTTTGCATATAAACACTGTACAAATACATGAAGCTGCAAAATAATGTGACAAAAACTAAAAGAAGCAGAAAGAACAGTAAATATGTCTGCACAACCACTCCAGACCTAGGACAGTAACTACATGTCCCATGATACACTGTTTTTCATTCAGGTCCAATCACTTTTTAGGGCTCATTTGATTGACGTTTCATTTCAGGGATGCCATTGGTTTCTATGCAGTTTCCAGGAAGTGAACGCCAAAAATTCTAACCTCCTCCCACATGTGATCGCCTGTCGAAGGCACCACGCGCAGCGTGTGAAGGGAGAGAAACCGGTGGAGAAAGCAACGTCATTCCTCGCACCATCAATTCGACGTAACGCAACAGAAAGAGAGTGGAGTGGAGCGGCGTTGTCCGAGGCAGGTAATAATACAAACCAATATAGTTTACACTGTACGTTACCCGAAAAGCGGTCTGGTGGTTTATAGAATCCAGAGGAATACGAAGAAAGTAGGTCGTGTTAGATAAGAACAGGATGGACGTTAGGCCTGGTGGAGCGCAGGCCTTAAATCCTCCGCGCTCTGTGCTAAAAGCCACTGCCCGAGTAGAGCCCTTCTTTGCGGTCAGCCCGGCTGCCAGCACTGGTCAGGTGCTACAGCGGTGACCGCGCCTGTAGTTTAGAGAGGTACTTGGTCGATTTAGTTAAATGCTAAGGACCCGCTTTAAACGATTGTGTATATTAGTCTGTTTCCTGGTAGGTTCACTACAAGTTGTGCTCTTATTTTAGGTGCTGAAGCTATAGAGCAGAAAGATGGCGGACGACCCCAGCGCGGCGGACAGGAACGTGGAGATATGGAAAATCAAGAAGCTGATCAAAAGTTTAGAAGCTGCCCGTGGGTAAGTAATTAATTAGTAATGTCCTTGCAGAGTATATTATAGTTCATAGATACAGATAACGGTTTGAATGGTGACCACCGCTGCAGCTGGAGCTCTGATAAGTGGGGCCGAATTTGGGAGTGGTTAGCATAGCTAGCTTTGCTAACGGTAGCATTACTGCTATTTGGTTAGCTAACTGCTAAACGCTAACTCTGCATATGATGTACGAGTGTTTTTTTTTTAACATCATGTTAAGGTTTGATGCTGAGATGTCCACATTATGTGCTAGGCAGACTGTGCGGAGGGGTATTTGACCCCAGTTTCCACAGGGGTTAAGTCGGCACACCGATGATAGCTTTTTTTTTTTTTGCTAATTCAACAGCTAACAGACGTCATCTCACGTAGAGGCCGCTAAGGGTGATTTAAAACCACATTAGTCAGAAAACAAGGCCAGTTAGTAACAGTTGGGCTGTCACATTCTTCCTAGTTTCTCAGTTTAATGTCTGGTTTGACATCAGTTTAGATTGAGCTCATTTAACAGATCCCTAAGCGTCAAGTCCCCACGTTCCTACCGTATTTCTTTTTACTTCTGATCTGATCAAGGTGGACAAGTTTATACGATTTCTAAGCAAATGCTGACCGGCAGGGTCAATATAGCTTCCTGACTGGGTTATCAGTCCAGATATTTTGAATGTGCATGTTGCTACATTGGCTTGTTACTTGCTCTGCGTCAGCTTGCTGTCGTGTGTTGCGCAGAATTTGCTGTCCTGTGCTACAAGGCCTGCCATGCCACACACATTTGCCTATTTTGCTCTGCATTCATCTCGCCTTTGGCTACCTGCTTGTGAGTGCATTGCCAGGCTGTACAGTTTGGCATTGAAACTCAGCCAGTAGTTTCAAGGACAGAGATTATGTTGTGTGTTTAACCAAAAGACCACTCTGGCTGTCACTCAACTTTGAGATATTGTAACTGTGATATTTTGCCAAGAAAACCATGTGTTTACATAACATTAGTATAAGAGTTTAAGTCGTTGTATTAGTAGAAGGGCATGAAGACGTTGATAAATCTAAGATGATTGTTAAAGTGTCAGTCCTTGTCGTTTTTGCATGTACCTTTTTCTTTTTGTTTTAGATGTCACCCAGATGCAGTGTGTAGTGTCAAATCAGATTGATTTATATAGCACATTTAAAACAGTGTGTTACCAAAGTGCTAAAGAAAAAGGATCACAGTGTCATGTATGATGATGTTAGACATTAGTTTTTAATGTTTTGCCTCAATGCAAATGTTGCTTCATGTTTTAATTTTAATCCTCAATCTTTTCATAGCAATGGCACCAGTATGATCTCGTTGATCATTCCCCCAAAGGACCAGATCTCCAGAGTAGCCAAGATGTTGGCTGATGAATTTGGCACTGCTTCAAACATCAAGAGTCGAGTTAACAGGCTCTCTGTACTTGGGGCCATCACTTCGGTACAACAAAGACTAAAACTCTACAACAAGGGTATGAGTTGAAATTGAAACGCTGCTTATTATTACTGGGGTTGAGTTTTTTCAGAACATGACTTAATAAAGGCCTAGATGAAGTTGTGTTTATTTGTCATATGCAAGGTTAACACAGGGTTAACAGTACAATGAAATCCAACAGTTTTCAGTCAGGTCATGGACAGTTTCTTTTTTTTTCTGAAACGTTTCACCTTCTATCTGGAAGGCTTCATCAGTCAAGGAAACACGCAACACAACACTGATTCTTCCCAAGCCTTTCGGATAGAAGGTGAAATGTTTCAGAAAAAAAAAAAAAGAAACTGTCCAGATGACCTGACTGAAAATTGTTGGCTTGTATACCTGGATTATTGAGCATGGACTTTTTTGGTTTTGAACCAGTTTGACAGTACAATGAAATGATTAGGATGAGAAGAACCAATTTAACTTGCTAAAAGAGCAAAGAACAAGCAAACAAGAAATACTAAAAACATGCAATAAGGGTACTCCAAAAAGTACCAAAAAGTGAAAAAGTAATTGCAAATATTATTTACAATGTATTAAAGAGAGATAGTAAACAACAACATGGTAGAATATAATGGTGCTGCAGGATGAGTTTGAATGAATTAAGTATTTCAAGGTAGTAATATAAGCTAAAATGCACTATATATATATATATACATATATATATATATATATATATATATATACATATGTGTGTGTGTGTATATATATATATACATATATAATGTGTGTGTATATGTATATATATATATATATATATATATATATATATACACACACACTGCACATAAATCAACATATACTACACAGGTTGTGTGACAGGTTATTGCCCAGGTAGTGACATTGAGGTTGAATTATTTGTTATTGCCAGTTGTTCAGTGTTATTTATTAATTATTATTAATTAATTTATCGAGCGTTCAGTAATCTGTCAGCTTGTGGATAGTAGCTGTCTTTTAGTCTTTTTGTATGCGATGACAGACTCCTGTATCGTCTGCCTGAGGGTAGTAGACGGAAGAGTCCTTGTGCTGGGTGGGTGTGGTCCTTAATGATGCTGCTGCTTTACGCAGACATCGGCTGTGGTAGATGTCCTGTATGGTGTGGAGACTGCTACCAGTGATCTCCTCTGCTGTTTGCACCACCCTCTAGAGCTTTCCGGCTCTGACTGGTGCAGTTCCTGTACCACCCTGTGATGCAGCCTGTCAGTAGGTTCTCAATGGTGCACCTATAAAAGTTGGTGAGGATGCTGGTGGTCGTGCCAAACTTCTTTAGTCTTCTTAGGAAGTAAAGTCTTTGTCTGGCTTTCTTGACTACAGTGTCTGTCTGTAAAGTCCAGGACAAATCCTCGATAATGTGAACGTCGAGGAACATGAAGCTGCTGACATGCTCCTACTCCACGTTGTTTATGTTGATGTTTTTTCTTATCTGTAAGATTGTGTTTTCAATTATTTTCTTCTTGTTTATCTTTTTTTTTTATGCTCGTCTCTTCTTTTGTCAGTGCCACCCAATGGCTTAGTTGTGTATTGTGGAACAATTGTAACCGAGGAAGGCAAGGAGAAGAAAGTCAATATTGACTTTGAACCTTTTAAACCAATCAACACATCTTTGTACCTCTGTGACAACAAGTTCCACACTGAGGTGAGAGATTTCACTTGGTTTCTTTTGTATTTTCTTCTCAGGGATATTACTTGAGGTCTAAATTTGTCTATTTGCCTTTTACCCACACACAGGCATTGACAGCCCTGCTCTCTGATGACAGTAAATTTGGCTTTATTGTCATTGATGGTAGTGGAGCACTGTTTGGGACACTTCAAGGCAACACCAGGGAGGTGCTGCATAAGTTCACTGTGGACCTACCCAAGAAGCACGGTACTGACCCACAATACTTCTATCTTAATCTAGGTGGAAATTAGTAGAAAACACTATGTATTAACTTGAAACTTTTGGTTTTGCCATTAACCAAACAAAAGTTGAAATTTTTTTGTTACTGTATTTTCTCTTTCAGGCAGAGGAGGACAGTCTGCTCTGCGTTTTGCACGTCTAAGAATGGAAAAGAGACATAACTACGTGAGAAAAGTTGCAGAGACTGCTGTCCAGCTCTTTGTATCCAACGACAAAGTAAATGTGGCAGGAATGGTTTTGGCTGGCTCTGCTGATTTTAAGACGGAACTTAGCCAATCTGACATGTTTGATCCAGTGAGTGTGTTCTTCTGGAATGGTACCTGTAAAACGATTATTACATTGTTATTATAGATAACTGAATTGAATACACATTTATTTGTCTTTCAGCCATGAATTTTCCATTGTTGCAATAGCATGCTGTAATCACTCATTTTATAATTGGTTTAGAAATCATATGTAAAGTAATTTAAAATGTTTTTTCAACATTATCTCTTAAAGCATAAGGTGATAAAATTTAAGAAAATATGTTTGTTTTTTTTAATTATGTTTTTGTCAAACATTTTCAAACACAGTTATGAATATTTTCTCTAAAAAGTTACTGGAATAACAATATTTTGGTGAAATTTGCCTATTCAGAACTTAATTTGCTGGTTGTGGAAACCAAAGCTGCTACTTTAATATATACTTTAATATCTTAATATGTGTATGTGTGTCATTGCACTGTACTATACTGAAGTTGTGCATGTGTTCTTGTTTTCTCAGAGGTTACAGGCTAAGGTTTTAAAGCTAGTTGACATCTCTTATGGAGGCGAAAATGGTTTCAACCAGGCCATCGAGCTTTCTGCAGAAGTTCTTTCGAATGTCAAGTTTATTCAGGAGAAGAAGCTCATAGGTAAGACCACTTGTAGATGCTGTTTTAAGATGTTGTCATTGATATGGTGGAAGTTTTCCTGAGTGCATTTCCCCTTTTGCCTACAGGGCGGTACTTTGATGAGATTAGCCAGGACACGGGCAAGTACTGCTTTGGAGTGGAGGACACACTAAAAGCCCTAGAGATGGGAGCAGTGGAGATCCTCATAGTCTATGAGAACTTAGACACCATGCGTTATGTTCTACGTGTGCATGGGGCCGAGAGCAATGGAGCTGAGAACGGTACATTCTTCGCATTTGTTACTTTTACCTGACCAACAAACTGTACGTTTCTTTTTTAATCGTGTTTCTATATTTTTGTTTTTCAGATGAGAAAATTTTGTACTTGACGCCAGAACAGGAGAAAGACAAGTCTCACTTCACAGACAAAGAGGTGAATACTACAGTGGAAAGGCATATCTAAAGGTTAAGTCAAACATACTGCTAAAAGTTAGTTTTTCTGACTTTTGTTTCTAGACGGGGCAGGAACACGAGCTGATTGAGAGCATGCCACTGCTCGAGTGGTTTGCGAACAACTACAAAAAATTCGGAGCCACTCTGGAAATTGTAACAGACAAGAGCCAGGAAGGATCTCAGTTTGTCAAGGGCTTCGGAGGAATTGGAGGTGAGCACACTGAGGTTGTTGGAAGTCCCAGGTTTTGTGACGTTGTATTTGAGCATTTGTGCAAAATGGAGTTGAGAGACTTAATGTGGTTCTTTGATCACGAGTTTGTAGGAAGATAAACGGATAGTTTCAAGATGATTTAACTTTCCACCTGTCAACAGCTGTACACACTTATGCTCTTTTTATGGTTGATGTTAAGACTAGTTTGAAAAGATAAGTACTGCTGTTTTATTTTTATTAGTATTTTAGTTGACTAGTGATAAGATACTAATGTTTTTATATTTTGTGGATTCACTTAGCTTAATTTATTTTCCTTCTTTGTACTGCCACAATTGTTGTAAAAAAAAAAATGTTGAGCAAAAATTTTGCAATAGTTATTCACTCTTTTTATTATCCACAGGTATCTTGCGGTACAGGGTGGATTTCCAGGGCATGGAGTACCAAGGAGAGGATGATGAGTTCTTTGATTTGGATGACTACTAGGTAGTCTTGGACTGGTATTGGGAGAAGAAAAAGGAATGAATGAAGAAATAATTAATGAAAAAAATGCCACCTCTCCTGCAGCAAGTGAGGGGAAACTGTGTTGACCATATATATATGACAGACACACCTTCCAATTTACTTGTTGCATACACAAACTTGCAAATACATCTGTACACTCTTCAAAATGCATCACACAGGCTGAAGAGGAATGAAATTTTCTTTTAGCCAGAGAGGGAGAAAGCCCTTCCTGAATATATCCCTGCCTTAGAGTGCTGGTTCCTTCCCCTTGTTGGATTGGACTTGACTCACATTGGTTCAGTTTTTTTTTTTTTTTTTTTTTTTTTCCTCTTCCCTTCCACTGAACACAACAGCAACTTTCCAGATTGCTTCTTGCCCCTAACTTGGTCTAAAGATGGACATGGACTTACTCCTCAGATATAGAAAATATATTTTCGTTTCTGGCCTCATAATGTCCCTAATCTTTTTTTTTTCCCCACCTCTATGCTTTCTCTCTCTTTTTTTTTTTTCGCATTGCATTTCATTTTTTTACTGGTAACTGCTGCTGTTGTATTTTATGAAAGCGGGGGATTTTTTTTACCTGGGATTTCTGTAGAGAACGGGGGACAAAGTATTAAATTTGAACTGCTGAAAACCATTGCTACCTCCTCATCTGCTGTGGTCTTGATCATGTGCCATGTGTGACTTCTTTTTGATAATGACAACCTTTTTCCTGGCATCATGGCATTAATATGCATAGTACTTCTGAATAAGTGAAATATGCAAAATTTAACTTGAAGTTAGATTTGAGAAACCACCACAATTTGAGGGTTTACTCTAAAATTAACAAATTTCTATGTTATAATCCCCCAGTTATTTTATAAAGATACAATTTACTTCACAGGTTTTGTCCATTTTTACTGGGTTCCATATTGTCTGTATTTATAAGTTATGCATAACCTAAATATACTGAAACCTTCCAAAGGATGACATTTTAAAATTGACGTTTCTAGAGAAATAAATTTACCAACTGCTTTTCCTAAAGTCATAAAAAACGGTTTTTATTCATAGTTGCTTGTATATATGTTTTTCCCCAGCAATCTGTCAGTGGTCTTTCTTCAATACACTAAATCTTAAAATATTTACCGTACAAGTTAATCTTGAATATTTAGCTTGATTGCGATTTTCACATTTGATTATCCCCTTGTCAAACCATCAGAAATGTGTTGCATCTGTAGGCTTACAGAAAATTGGATTAATTTGAAATTGTGTGCAAACAAAGCATACCAAAATTGCCTTGATGGCTGTGGAAAACTTTAGCAATGAGTGCTAAAATGCATTCTACTCATCATCCTAGCATCCTATGACAAGGCATTGGGGATAGTAAAAGAACCTGAATAACTAAAGAGTAAGGGATCCATGTCGACCATGTATACTCTGCCAAATGTCCGTTTACTTTTGTTAGTGACTTGGCTTTAAATAAAAGCCTTGGCAAAAGAACTAAAGATAGAAAAGTATGAAGCACAATCCAAGACTTGAGGTGGCTGAGTGGTTGGAGCAGTACTCATAAAAGTTGGGAGTATGTTTCCATCAGTATGTAGTCAAATGTCATTTGGCAAGACACTACTGCATTGCACACTGCATTGCCACCAATGTGTCCCATTAGTGTATGGATGATCTAAAGCACTGATTAGCCTTTAGAATGATTTACTCGAAAAAGTTTTGTAGAGTGCTGTATGATGGGTAAATGAAGGCACATATTGTGTTGTAAAGCATTTTGAGTATCCTGGTTGGCTAGAAGGGTGCTGTATAAGTAGAGTCCATTTACTATTTGATAACACTACAGTTTACTATTTGATAACACTACAATTTACTATTTGATAACACTACAAGACTAGACTAGTTAGCAAAATCAGAGCTGTTTGCCACTGCAGCGTTTCACAAGTACATACTGAAATGAAACGGCGTTCCTCCAAAGATCACTGCAGCACAGAACATAACGTGTCTCATACCTTGTACTGGCATTTTAAAATTTATGCATTTATGAAATGTACCTACTTTTTTTTGCTGTGTTTAATCGTTATAAACCCATCAGTCATAAACCCGTCAGTCATGGGTTTTTGAAAGTGCATTGAACCCCCCCCCCCCCCCCCCCCAAAAAAAAAGTAAATCGCAGCCCATTCTGACCACACGTTCTGATTTTATCAAGACACATTAAAATGACTGAGTGCCTTTAATCACATGCACAATTTTATAATGGCCAACTTCATGCTGCATTTCATAGCGATGCTATGCGGATGATTGATTTTGCCTTGGTGTATCCCTCTTCAGGATAGCAACAGCATCTTTATCCATTTGCCTTGTTTGGGGGAGTCACCAGGAAAAGCCTTGGTAGCACGATAGGCCAATCAATAAAAGGCAAAGCAGCAAAGCCCCGCCTCCTTAGTCAAAATCTGTCCAATCAGTGCTCACCTTTATTGCATGGGCGTTCCCATCCCCCCACCCACCTTTGACACTGCCGAAGCAAAGCTGTGCGGTTGTGCGAACTGAATGACGTCTCTGAATTTGCGGGCCGCCGACGCAGGGCTGGGTTTCCATTTTCACAGCGAGTTTCGGGGGGGGATCATCAACATGGAGCCAGAGATGGAAGACAAAACAGTAGAACTAATGGTAAGCTTTGTTTCAGTGACATACAGTGCTTCTGATGGTATCACTGTCAACCTTTTGCGGGGTAAAAGCGCAAGGCTCGATTCGACGATAGGAATAAGCCGAAGCGGCTAGTCGGAAGAGGTGGAGGAGAAAGGAGGGGGACCAGAAATCAGAGGGAGGGCCTGAAAATATCGGTACATTTTGCTAAGAATGCTCATCGCAGATCGGATTGATAAACACATAATTACACAAGTAACGGAGACCATGTTATGTGGGTTATACGTTTTAAATATTTGATTAAATTAACAGACTATTGTTCGGTCGTCGGCGGAAGGCTGACGAGAATTCCTGGTGTAGCGTTCACTGCGGTGACGCTGCGCCACTTTAACTGGGCCCTGCCTGATACTAACTAGCCTTTCTGCTAACACAAGCTAGGAGGCAATGAACCACACGTCAATGTACGTTGTGTTATGTACACTGAATGGACTTTATACAAAGTAATAGTTGTGTGAAGCAGTTACGATAGGTAAGATTACAACGACATGTAGCGAGAGTCCGAACAATGTGCGTCTTGTCTGTTTTATATTTCTAAAGTGCGTAGAAGGAAGTGTACTGCTTTTTCATTCACACACAGCGAGCATTAGCAGTTAGCTTGATAGCAAGCATGCTAAATAAGCTTGTAAAACTGATGAACATTTTATATAAAATTTCGAAGTTCTCTGTATCAGTACATTTATTGTTAACCAAGAAGATACACTACCATTCTAATATCAGTTTCCTTTATAGATGGTCATATTTAGCCAACTATAATTGGGTTTCTGCTGTCTCGATGAGGGGGGGCAACCGCTAGCTAACATTAACATTAGTGGTGATCACTGGGACAGATAAGGCACAACAAAACATACAATGATTTAAATAAAAAACGTGTTTGTTTTTTAGTTAATCCATATAGCAAAAGACTAAGTTTATACCTAACCGGAAGTTAAACATAAATTACTCGTCTTTAAAACCACAGAGCTCAGTTCCTCTTAATAACGAGCCATTGTTATCCATTGTTACAAATCTTAATGCCAAATAAGACAGAATCAGATAGATACTTGGGTAAAATTCATAGGTTATTCCTTTTTAAGTGTACACAAGAAAGCAGCTTATGTATGTTGTTTAAAAAGTCTTTTGCCTCAGCACTGTCAGTGAAGTCACTATCAAAATTTGTCACATTTCACAATGGTGGTTATTATAAAACATTTAATTTTGTTTATGGAAATTGTATAAATATTTTTTTAAATCAGAATATGTGTACCATAAATAACAGTACCACAGGGGGGGAAAAAACCATGTAAAACCAAAAAAAGTTTACAATTGATTTATCAAACAAGATGGTTTAATAGACCTTTTTGTACGCTTCGGGGTTTTAAAGCAGATCTGGTGTTAAACAACTTCCGGTGGCTATAGCATTAGCATTAGACAGTGATGAAAATGTCTGAGTCTCGGCGCGGTTTCTTTTGTTCAGTTCCTGGTTGTTCTTGTGGGACAAGAAAACAACCATATCTATCCTACCATGCTTTTCACGACATACCCAGACCAAAGGAGGCAGTGGATCCAAGCGATCAGAAGAGATGAGGGTCCCAACTTCTTCATAAAGCCTACATTTCACTCGGGAGGATTTTGTCTTCGGATCCACCACCAGCTGCTTTAAAAGTTGAGCTGTTTCTTCTGTCTTCACCTGGAATAATTTCACCGCACCAGCTAAGAGAGGGTCTGTTTTTAGAGAGCTCAGAAACAGCAGCTTGTCCTCTCACAGAAAGCTAGCCAGGCTGAAGCTGCTACTGGAGTCCACGTGAAACTCACTTCACCTGGTGGCACATCCACCCACAGGTAAATATCACATTAAGATGGTACATTATAAACTTGTCATAAGTCATGGAAAGATCAAGTTACATGCACTGACTCACAAAATGTATTGATCTTCACGGAAATTTTATTTTGTGGTTTTACAGGTGCACTCCCAGCTGTCCTCATTCTGTTCAGTCCTGTGTTGGTGGACTCTCACTCCTGCTTGAGTCACCATAATTAGGCAGTGTCTTACCTGAGAGAAGATTGGCTGGCTGATAAAGGCTGGGGCCATTTTCAACTATCTTTATATGTGAATGTGAGGCCCATGTTTGTTTGTTTTGTAATTCTTAAATATTATTCATATTTATTTTTGTTTACTTAATTTTATATTTATGTTCCAGGTAGAAGGTGCCAGTCTAGTCTTTTGTAGATTCCGTTCCACTCGTGTCTCGTGCATCACAGCTTGTGGGTGAATTTCTGCTCTTGTGTTACCTTGAACCATCCTTTTGTCCTTTAGTTGACTGAATACTGGAAAGTCTCAGCCTTGGCTGAATATTTATTTTAAGAATCATTATTGCCTCCATTAGAATAAGTTTTTAACTTAGTGTTAATACAATTTATATTGTATCTTGGAACAGTCTCCTGCTTACTTGTAGACAAACCCAAGTGCCTTTTCTGTGTATAAATTATGTCCTTGGATGAAAGTCCTAAGGTGGTGTTGCAGTAAGTTTATAAAATAAAAATAACATCCATACCCATGCTTGTTACATATTGTTCTAGTGTTATGTAATTAGTTATTTAAAGCTTTTGAATTATTTTAAACATTCTTCAATTAAAACACACTTGAGCAGCATACTGTACTGTTTTTTATTTAATTTGTGGATTGATTCCGTTGTATTGAAAAGAAAACAAGTGTAATTTACAATATCTAGTAAAAAAAAAAAAAACACAACCTTAACGATTTAACATTTTAACAGTACACTATACATTGATAGTGGATTATAGATATTTTCCACAAAATTATGCTATTTTAAAGAAATTGGCACATTTGTGTATTTTTCATGAGTAACAACTATTTACAGGGATTCACAGCTTGAGACTGAATATTAAAAATATAAAGGAACAAAAGGGTGATTTGTACATTTTATGATTCATACTGCATTTATATAAACACATCGATGAATGTGTTGAAGTAAAACATGTCAGCAGACTCCTCCTCCGTACTTCTGCAAGCAAGATGAAAATGGCTCGCAGTAAGTCTTGGTTGTAGAAGCTGTACCCCTGCAGAACATCTGGACTGCTCCCTGGTTCTGGCCTCTTATAAGATGTTTCCAGTGACACTTGCAGTGCATGAAGATGTGTGAAGTGTGCACACAAAACATGTTGGGAAGACTGCAACGTCAGAGGAAAAGCAGGGAAGTGTGGTGCAGAATGATGCTACGCAGGACTTCTCAGGTGGGCACTGGTAAGACATCTGTGAGCCCTGTGGCACAGACACAAACCTGGATACCAGTGCCAAAGTTGGGATGAGCGATAAGTGGTTGGGACTTCAACTGACGTAGTTTTTCTCCTGCTGTCACCCAATGAGATCTAAAACAGATAACTGTTTTTAGCACATGCATATAATACTTGTTATAACATATTTAGCTTTAAACAAGTAATGGATTCTAGTTTGAAGATGAGCTGAAGCAGCAGCAGAACAAAACGGACTATGCTGCTATGACAGAAGACAAACTAACCAGTGAACAGGAAGTTGTTGCTGTAAACTCTCAGTAGTACAGAAGTTGTCCATCGTATGTCATAGTTCTTCAGCTGTCATAAATAAAGCATCTAGCTCTGACAACTACCGGTCACTCGACAATATTTGACCTATAGTTATGAAGAAGTAAAACACAGTTTGAACATCAAGCACCATAGCATCTCATAACTAACATCTAGTACATTTTCTTTCACAAATTGTAATGGCAAACACACATCTGAATGTTAAAATATCAGTTAAAAGTTTATACCACGTCTGTCTCAAATATTCCAAATAATTTAGCACACTGAATTAGGCTTTATTACGATGTTTATGTACTTCATTATGTTGTAGCTAACGGTTAGCTCGCTAAGCTACGCCTTTTCTTAACTTGATAGCTGTGGATATATTCTTCATGGAAGAATTTATATCCTTTCTCAAGTTTATTGGTTCGAGAATTCACCGCTGCCATTTCCTCCACATCAGCAAAAGAAAAGCCTGGCATTTGCATAGACTCGCGAAAGCCGGCAGTAACCCAGCGCCATGAGACGCTACTTCCGGTTGTCGTGAAAAAGGTCTCCAGGTAAATGGAGAAGGAACAGCTCCACTTTTAAGGCGGTTGGTGGTGGATCCGCTGACAAAATTCTCCTGAGTGAAATGCCGGCTGCATACAAAAGTGCTCCCTGACTTTATGCAGAAGTCGGGACCCTGATCTTTTCTAATCGCTAGGATCCACTGCCTCTTTTGGTCTGGGTCCATAGGGAAAGCATGATAGGACCGATATGGTTGTTTTCTTGCCCCACAAGAACAGCCCAGAACTGGACAAAAGAAACCGCGCCGAGACTCAGCCATTTTCATCACTGTCTAATGCTAACGCTATAGCCACCGGAAGTTGTTTACTACCACATCCGCTTTAAAACCCGGAAGCGTGAAAAAGGTCTATTGCCTCAGCACTAAGTCGGTGAAGTCACTATCAAAATTTGTCACATTTCATGATGGTGTTATCATTATCAAACATTTAATTTTGTATATGGAAATGGTATAAATATTTTTGAAATCAGAATGTGTACCATAAATAACAGTACCACGGGGGGGGGAACATGTAAAACCAAAAAAGTTAACAACTGATTTATCAAACAAGATGGTTTAATTAGGTTGGATTTGTAAGCACAGCCTAAATTTTGACTTGTTTACATTAAATTTCTCTAGTAAGAATTTTGTAATATTTTAATTTTTTTTATATTTTTCCACACTAGAAACGCAAAGACCTATGAGATTATTTTGAAATTTGTCTGGGTTTTGTCATTTTGTGTACTTAAATTAAAAATAAATAAAAAAAATGTCAATGTTATTCACTAACCACTCATGAGAGTGGGGATGGCAGAACAGTTGATGGGGTGTTGGTTAACCTCGAATGACAATATTTGTCAATTCTGTTACTCTTCCCTCCTCTCTATGTATCTCCACCCAATTCATGTGTAATAATGCTTCTGTGTGTATGTTTATCAGTCTGTATGTTGTGTGTGTGATGGAGTGTGTGTTCCTACGCTCACTGTGCCAATGTGTGTAGCTCTAATACTGGTTTTTCCCCCTCACTATCCCCCACCTCTTCCCCTCTTCTCCTTTCACCTTTAATGGTTACACACTCGCCTCTTCTCAATTTTCCAAATGGCCCCTGTTTATTTATTCATTAATTTGTACTTTTGTACAAAACCATACTTTATTAATCTTGTTCCTCGCCAACTCTCTCACTTCATCTGCACATTCATCAACTCAACTACTCACTCTTTTTGGTTTCCTTCTCCCAACTCCCCTCATCAACCTCCCTCTTCTTTTTCTTTTCTTCCCATTTCTGATCTCTTGCTCTTTCTTTTCTCTTCCTCCCTCACCCTGTCCACTTCGTTCTCCTCTTCCCTTCCTCCCTTCCTCTCTCTCTCTTTCACACAGTGCTCTGTGCCTCGCTCTCTCTGGCTGGGCTGCTCCTCGGTGGCTGAGAGTTTGTGTGCACTCAGGTGCCTGCAGAGCATCCCCTCCACCCGGGCTCACAACCAGGTTCTGCCTCTCTCCTCTTAAATCTGCTGCTCCTCCTTTCCTCCCTTTTTCCCTTGTCATCCCATCACCCTTCACTTTTTTTGGCCCACTTCATACGAGTCCTCATCCAAGCTTGGTGCAGCCTGACAGCACCCACTCATCCTCCACCTCACCTTCCTACCTCCTCACTTTTTTGTTGTTCTTTTCTCCTGCTCAGCTCTTGGCTTCTTCTCTGGTGCATCCTTCAGTTCTTTCTGCTAGTAACTACCATTAAATTTTTGCTTAACAATCCATAACTTCCTCTGAATTTTGTCAAAAGCATGACATTTAGAATACTGTAAGGTAAAATCTTCAGCAAATGTCTTGTAAATAAAAGTTGTACAGTCAGAAATTTTCATCAGACTACAATTTTTTTTTATCATTTGAATAGAAGAAAGAAGCAGTGATTTACCAGAGAATAGCCATGTATTGAGTATTCTCGCCTACCTGAAGGTGTGAGGGCTGAGGTGTGTATGTGTGTGTGTGTGTGGGGGGGGGGGGTGTACTCGCAGCTCTGAGAGGCTGCATGCTTGCTGCTTGCCTGGCATAACCCTGTTTGTTTTTAGTTCCTTCTGTTCTGCCCTGCATGAACATCAACTCCCAACACCAGCAGGACTATCATGGTGCAGTGTCTTGTCTGCTTTGATGTTGGTACTTGGACTTTTTGTTTATATGGTTGTATTCATGACAATCGCCATTTTTATTCTGGTGTCATCTATCTCATTATGCCGTGGTAAATGTTAATTTTTATTATATTTTTTTTTTATATTGGCACCTGATGAATTTTAATGCTATATTATGTTTATGCCAACACAGCCATTTTTTGGACTAATTTTAACTCTTTTTTTTTTTTTTTTCCCATAAATGTGCAGTTGCTTTACTTTACTCCCTGGTAAAAACCAGCACTGTCTTTTCAAATTAGTATGCAAATATTTAAGAGCTAGAGTATAAAAAAACGTAATACTGAGCAACAAATTATATGTAAATATTTGTACCCTGTTCAGTTTTGTGCTAGTTTCAGAAAGCCTGCACAAAAATGCAAATTTGTAATAAAAATAAAATAACCTGACTGATGCATATAATTGTGTAAAATCAATATGAAGAGTTTGTTTTCAATCACAACTAGATTGGGCAAACTTGTAAGAATAAAACTAGACATGCTTGATATTCTATACATGATTTAGTTTTTTTTTATTTAAGGTTTACAATATCATAGTTAATCTGTAGCATCTGGATGAGGTTATTTGCTCTGAAGATCTTGAATCAAATCGCAAAATGTACAAAAGAAATAACAATAAAAAATACTGGCAAACAGTAAAAATGATAAAGGGTTAACATCCGAGTCTAACATCAGCAGTTTGTGATTTGATAACAAACATGTTCATTTTATGATTCAACTCTTGTTAGTATCTTTACACTCAAATCATTGAGTGTAAGGACTCACATAATTCTTAAATTAAGGACATGCTAGAAGTTGTCCCCCTATCATCTGTGAATGATTTAGGACTATCTGTTTTATTACTGCCATGCCTGATCTGGTGCCAGTGACATACCAAACATTTTACCCTTTTAATTTCCTGTCCAGACTACGTAGCCCACATCACAGACAAGTAAACAGATTCCTTTTGTTGAGATGCTCAGTTTTCGTCACTCCATATGTGTGTGTATGCACGGCTGTTTGTGCGTGCACGAGTTTAAAATTTTGATAGCCTTTTGTGGCTGTGTTTTTGACACTTTTTTTGTGTCAAGCACTGTCCACAATGCTGCCCTGGCTCTTAAAATGCATTTATACAGATTAAAATAGAAGAGTACACTAACATGTGCATTCTCTTAATTTGTTTTTCTTTTTCTATAGAACACATCAGGGATGGAGTCTCAGAATTTAGTGGACGATCTGTCGCCAAAGAAGAATACAGTTCTGAAGGTGTGTTTTTCATTTTGTTATGCTAAACGCATCAACAAGAAACGATTCAATTCAGTTTATTTATATAGCGCCAAGTCACAACAGAAGTCATCACTGAACAGAAACGTTCAAATGCAGACCCTTTCCAAAAAATTTGAATATCATGGAAAAGTTGTTTAAGTTCCATAATTTCATTCAAAAAATTAATCTTTAATAGATGATAGATTCAGGACCCAGAATTTAAACTAGTTCAAGTATTTATTTGTTTTTACATAATTTGGGCTTCCAGCTCATGAAACCCACGTAAACAGGAATTCAAAAAATTCGAACACTGTGAAGACATCAGCCCACACTTCTCAGTTTTTGCAGAAAAAAATAAAGAAATTAGGATCACAACAAATCAATCAAAATATGGTTCTTTCAAAATGAAATGTCAATCTTTAATACTTGGTCTGGAATCCCTTTGCCTTAATCCAGTCCT